TGCTCCAGTGTGGCTCAGCAGGGTAACATGTATCAGATTATAAATCATAGAATCATATTTTTCCCTTACCTTTCTCCTTCAGTTCTTCTTGTGTGCTCTGTGTTCTTTGTTTATTTTTTACTATTCCATTAAAATTAAAATTTTATATAAAATGTATAGCAACTTATGTTGCTGATTTCTATTATTTGTTAAATACCAAACAAAAATGGCTTTAGAGTATGGTTTGAGAGGACCATCTCCCATAGATTATCAGACTTATCTAACTACTTGTTCAAAATTAGTTTATGCTTGATCCCACCCACTTTGAATGAGTAGGCTATTTCAAAGGGTGCCATTTCATTGATTTGTTAATCTGAAGGTTTCATTCAGTTACAAATTAAATTTGAAAATGTAGTCAGTCTAGTCTCCTGCCTCTGAATATGATTCTGTTTTGCTAGTTTTTTTCTGGTACTAAAAAGTAAAAAGCATCTTTGACAGCTGGCTTCTATGGTCTGTCATGGTTGGGTATTTCTGAAACCCTTATCACTGATTGGAAGGTGGATTATCTGATCAGTAATATACATCTCAGAATCTCAGCATGACATTTTTGCCCTGTAGCATCATCAGCTGGATAGTAATGTGCAATACGGTATAATTTTGATTTAAGCATTGATATGACAACTGGATGACTTTCATTTGAGAAAGCTGATAAACTGACTTCTGTGGCTATGAGACTGAAAGCTAAAGGCCAGCTCTGACCTTCTGGAGTTACAAGTGAGTATCTCTGATTATGATATGTTTTTAAATACTCATTTGAGTATTTAAAAACATATAGCAGTCTAAACCATTTGGCCTCTGAAAAGCCCTTGATTCATAGCCTGTTTTAAGCTGACCTAGTTAAAGGAAGTGTCAGTATTCAGCTGAAGCCTAATGGTTAAAAATTAATAAAAAAAATATACATCAGTAGCTACAAGTTGTTTATCTTTAAGTTATTCTATATCTTAAAAAATTATTCATACCCAGGCCCGGTTTAAAATTTTCTATTCAGATCCTTTTCTTTACCCCATGTAATATGCCACTGTGATAAAATATCAGATTTTCCCACAAAACTAAATTGTTACTGAAAATTTTGGGATCCTTCCCTCCTACCCAGAACCCCCATTTTTAAAGGGGTGGTTTGGCAAAAATCTAAAACTTCTGCAGTGAGGGGAAAAAAATCCCAATATTTTCTGGACAGCATTAATTGTTAGAGGCTCCAAGCAGCTTTCTGGGCTCAATTAGAGGTATTGTTTTTGACTTATAAGGCCCTAAGTATTCTGGGCCTTGTGTGCATAACAACCTGTTTCCTCTCCTGTACCCTGTCACAATTCCTAAGATTAGCTAAGAGCTATCTCCTATTAATATTACAAGTTTGCCTGCCAAAAACGTATGAGAGGTCATTCTCAGCTATCACCCCTCCTTTCTGGACTCCCTCCTTTTCAAGACTTGACAGAGCCTGAACCTGGACGGCTTTTGGAAGCACTGTAAGAATCTTTCTTTGGACAGGACTGTAGCACACAAAGCTAGGCTGAGAGATTGCTTAGGGGATCTATGTTGTATGATGATGTTCTAGTTTCTTTTTAAGCTGTGGGGTTGTCTTATTGCTCTTCTGTTTTATAAGTAATTCTATTTTCTTATTATAAAATGTCCTGAGCATTTGTTGAGGGGGGTGGCATATAAATCAAGTGAATGAATTAATGAATGAATTATATCTAATGGCCACCAGGTTCTCCTTCAGCTTCTCCACCAGGACCTATTCTAATGCTCACCAAAATAAGCAGGCATCTTTCTACTGACATTATTTTATGGTTGATCATGGCTTACGATAGTTTAATTATTATGATCTTCAAGACACATGGTCATCTTTTCATGACCTCCAGTAAAATAAATGAAAGCCAGCCACTGCAAAAGATTCATAGATGTTTGGGTTGGAAGGGACCTCAGTAGATCATTGAGTCCAACACCCTGCCATGGGCAGGAAAGAGAGCTGGGGTTAGATGACCCTAGCCAGGTGCATGTCTAGCCTTCTCTTAAAGACCCACAAGGTAGGGGAGAGCACCTCTTCCCTTGGAAGCCCATTCCAGATTCTGGCAACCTTTACTGTAAAGAAGTTCTTCCTGATGTCTAACCTAAACCTGCTCTCTGTCAGTTTGTGGCTGTTGTTCCTAGTTACTCCAAGGGGTGCCCTGGTAAACAGAGCATCTCCTATTCCTTGCTACCTCACCCTGATGAATTTGTAGGTGACCACAAGATCACCTCTCAGCCTTCTCTTGTGGAGGCTGAAGAGATCTGGGTCTCTCAATCTTTTTTTGTAGGGCTTTGCCTGCAGGCCCCTAACCATAGGCATGGCCCTCCTCTGAACCCTCTTGAGGTTGTCCACATCCCTCTTGAAGTATGGTGCCCAGAGCTGGACGTAGTACTCCAACTGCGGCCTGACCAGTGCTGCACAGAGGGGAAGTAGCACTTCCCTGTACCTGTTTGTCACATACCTGCTAATGCATGATAAAAGTGCAGTTAGCTTTACTGATCCCTTTGTCACAATGAAGGGCTCAATATATTTAACCTGAGGTCCCTAAAATTTACCACTGAATGACAGATTCAGTCATGAAAGAATCTGTTCCCATAGCTCAGAACATGATGCTCTATAACAGTGGTGCCTCTTTTTATTCCATGGGCCTGAAGGACAGTGCCAAGTTTCTCCATGGGCTCAGATCCAGAGTAGCGCAGCCTGACTTGGATCTGTCTATCCAGAGTAGGGGGGGGAAGGGGGGTGGGGGCAGGCAGAGCCGCCCTGAACCGAACTACGGGGGAATAGCCTGGTCCTGATCTGGCAATGGAGGAGGGGTGGGAATGGGGGGACAGGGTAGTTTCCATCTGAATGAGATGGAGTGGGAGAGGGGTGTAAAATGGTTTTAATCCAGATGTGCAGGGTTGGGGGGAGCATCTCAGCTCGGCCACAATTTGGACATGTGTGGGTGGCAGGGTGGGGAGCAGAGTAGCCCTGATCTAAATGTGCTGGGGGAGGAGAGCTGAGGCTGGAGCTGGCCACATGGAGCTTCCACTGTTCCTTGCTGCCAGGTTTTCCAACTCATGAAGAAACCCTGAAGGCTAATTTCGTGGGTCCATGGGCTGGAGTTTGAGTACCCCTGCTCTGTAACAGTGTCCATTAAACAAGGGTGTTAGTTGTGAAATGCTGTGAAGTTCACTGTGACATACAGAACTTGCATTCTTGCCTTGATTGCATAGCAATGGCAGGCTCACAGAACAGACAAAAGCAGAGACTGCAGTACCCTCTGTGGTCTGCAGCCATATGCACCCTTGAGCATAGGTTCCAGGCCTATAACCTGACCTTCTTTAGCAGAAGGGATTAATTCTCCCTATATTTGTCTTAGTATATAGAGGTGGGGACATTCTAAGATTTAATAGGCATCCTAAGGTTTTTGGCTATTACTGTTTATATCTACTACTGATATAACCTACTCTCTTTGGAAAAAAATGTAGAATTTCTGTGCTAAAAGTTATAGCTTAAATAAATAGGGATACAATTTGTCCTTGATGGAGTCCTTCTTTGCAAGATATGTAGCGGGGATCTTGTTGCAATAGGAAGGGACAGAAGAAATTTAGCTCAGTTGCCCTGGAGAAATATCTTTTGGCATCCTCTAAACACACGTAATAGGTGCTTGAACTATGTACCCTTCCCCACACAAACACAATCATACCTGCATACACTTGTGGCCAGTTCCACTGCACAACAGTCATAGGGACAACTGTAGTATTTACACATGCCTGAAGTGGCCTACAGAACATTATGGCATATCTCTTCTTCCTTTCCTACTTCCCTTCTCCTCTGTTCCATGTGCCAGCAGAGCAGCAAATTGACATTTACAGGATTTCTTGTCAGTTTCACTTGGCTCTGCCAGTCCATCCAGCAGAGCAGTGAAGTGAAATTGATGTAATTTAGTCTGTTTCTTTTTCCTGCTCTGCTTCCCATGCTAACTAAGCAGCAAAGTGAAACTGACAAGAGTTCTTGTAGTTTTCACACATGGAGTTGGAATGGGGAGGGTCTAGTAACAGGGAACAGTCCATTAAAGGAGCTGTGCAGTAAACTGAGAAATAAATTCAGGAGAAGGAAAAAAAAGAAGGAAATGATTTGGGAGCCAAGAGCAAAAAACAGAGAAAAACATATGAACATCTTTGTTTCCCACATGTACTCAACTCTTTCCTAAAATGGGTGGAGTCATAACCTCTACCCTGAGAACTGTGTGGTCTAAATGAGTCAGCTGCCAACTGATATTGGGTCTGGAAGAAGGACTGCCAAGCTGGAGATATGAGCCTTTATCTGGTGGATAGCAAAGACTTTCCTCCCTGAGTTATCATAGCTGTTGTGGATTTTCTGCTTCTAGAACATCAAGAAGGGGAATACTGGCTACTGTTGCTGCAGGTGGTGAAGGGAGATGTGTTTTAACTAACTGATGATCTGTCTATAAATTATAAAATTATTTCAGTGTAGAATACAGAGGTACTTGATGAAACTTCATTGAAACTTGAATTTCTGTTCATGAAAGTAAGACAGATGAAATAATTAATAGTAAGTACTGTAATTGGAAAGCAACTGTTCTGGAACAAAGCATTTATCAGAATTTTTGTTTAAAAAAACACCTATTGAATTCTGCTTTTGTAATATAGTATGTATGTCACATTGGTGATTTTATCAGTTCCACATACAGCTGCAATGTTTTCCAGTTTTTGCAGCTGCATGCATAAACCAGACAATTACCATACAAACTAGTACTGAAACCTGTATCACTCATATTTGCCTGATTTATACATGCAACTAATTCTTATGCATTTTTCACATACTTTAGCCCCAGGGTATGGTGCCCAGGTTGGATGTTACATTTAATGTCTTGAGATTCTCTGTTACCTTTAGTTTGCAGCTTGCTTTTTTTCTAAGACAAATTTTCTTTGCTTTACCCTTCTAGGAATTAAATAGCTTTAATTACTTGGACTTGTATAAGCTTGCTGACCTCTTTAATCTCACATTGCTGGAGAAGGCAGTTGTTGACTTCTTAGTAAAACACCTCTCTGAGTTGTTGAAGAGTCACCCTGAGGAAGTCCTGGCTCTGCCATACTGTCTCCTTCGAGAAGTCCTGAAAAGCGACCGACTCACTTCACTAAGTGAAGAGCAAATCTGGCAGGTAAGGAAATCAGTTAATTAATGAAATGTGTGATATCATATAACCCATAGAATCCTTTGTTTTTCCAGTGTCCTTGAGAGCTCTAAAGAGACTAAAATGATCAAGAGGTCAAAGAAAAACTGGGAACATTGGCAAATAACTGGTTGAAAAAAAGTCTTGTTTTTGGCATATTTACACGTGCTCTGGGGTGGGATGGAGGGGTGTTTTAATTAGAGCTGCTTTCAGGAGCCACTCTAATTAAAACACCTGCAGCGTCTCATGTATTCAGCATCCTGTGCTTCAAAATGGCAGTGGGGGCACTTTAACTAAAGCTCGTTGGACGAGCTTTAGTTAAAGTGCCCTCACCACCATTTTGAAATTTGGGGATGTTGAATACACATGACGCTGAGGCTTCTGCATTGTTCTAATTAGAACGCTCCAGCAGACTCGATAAATCAAATCTGCTCCAATGCATTGTAATTGGAGCAGGCATTGGGCACATGTATAGGTGCCCGTAAGTTCTGCTTGGCTGTTTTAGTGCAGTTAGTTAATTTGGAAGGAGTTTGTTTTGTGTTTTACTTGTGGTTTCTGGTATGGTATCAGGAGACAACTGTAGTGTCGCAGCATTACAAATAGTGGACACACCTACACATGTAATGAGTACATTGAATAAACTCAAGCGCTTATTAGAACATGTGCCCAGGAGCAATTAACTCCAAAGCAACCAGCTTTGGAGTTTATGCATGGATAGACAGACAGCATGTGGACCCTGGTTGGAGCAGCCCTGACTGTCAGAGGGCTCTGGGGGTCAGCCTGCCAGCCCAGAGCTGCTCTAACTGGGCTCAATGTGCTGTGGAGGGGTTGGCTGGGGCATGAGGGTGCTTCAGGGCAGGACTAGCCAGCAGGCAACCCCTGCACTGAAGCCTCAAACCCCAGCCAATTGGATCAGCGTCTACATGTGCACTGCTGCACATTAATAAACTGCAGGAAGGTAGTATTTGTAAATACAAGTACTACCCTTCTGCAGAGTTTTTTAGCTTCCTGTGCCCTAATAGGGGCTTACTTGTAAACACTGAGACAGTTACTGTGGAGCTAATTAGTCAGCTCCACAGTTAACATCTTATGTAGATGCACCCAGTGTGGATTAACCATCTGATGCCAAAGAAATATGTATTCACATACCCATATATATTTTTGTCATACACAGACTCATACATACATGGGAGCATACAGACAAAATCCAATTTAGGAAACAATCCTACAAAATATCTTGGGAAATGGATGTTTAGGAATGTAGTGGAAGCAAATATCCATTGTATTCATTAAAATAATAAAGTGGGGGAAGGCAACTTAGGTTTTTCAAGATAGAAAGCAGAAGGAACAGAAATTTATCCTGTTAGGAAGGGAAGTACCTTGATCCAGTGAGAAGGATAGGGCCCATTTAGAGTCTTTTTAGGGCTCTCTTAAAGGAAAGTTATCTGCTGTGTGACCTAGAGCAAGTCATTCAGTTTCTCCATTGTGAAAATGAAGATAATGATATTTCCCTTCCTTTGTAAGGCACTTCAGGATCTACAGACAACTTGAGCCATAAAAGAACAAACTATTACTTTTATGCTCATCTGAAGGGTGCTAACCTACCAAAGCTCAATAGTTTGATCGCTTGGCTGAATTATGTTCCCATTAATGTATTTCCTAAATGTTGAGGAGTTTGGTAAAACCTTTTATTGGATGAACCATTACAGTTACAACACCATAGTGACCAAAATCTGAAGTCAATTTCCTCCAAATTGAATCCTTCCTCTGCCCAAATCCTGGGAGCATCCATATTACAGAGTTTATGACATGGAACTTTTTCTGTATAAGTAAGATTATACTAGAGTCCTGGCACACATTCCCTTGCTCCATAAAATGGTTTTGATGAGGTAGGATGTATACAGTGTATTGCTGACTGGCCTATTTCCTTTATTATTACTTCACTGCTGGTGCAAGTACTCAGAAAAGTGCTTTGGAATACCTGCAGTAGAAAAGGTTTCTATAGAAAATCAGGTTATATTCTTTACTGCTTCCCTTTTTAACAAGCATACCAGCACTAAACAGAATGGAAGAGTCAGGTCAATGTCTCCTCGCTGGGACCACCCTTGGGAAGTGGGATTTCTCTGGTGCTGTGTCCCTGGCCCTGTCCTACAGCACAAATGCAAGAGCAGTTTTCTTAATGGCCTGCATAGCCCTAGGTGAATACTTCATACAGCAGATATGACAAAGCCTGTGCTAGTGCTTCTGGTTACACTGCAGACACTGCAGATAATCTCTCATAATGTACTGCTTTTTGAGTGACAACAAACTCTTCCCTGTCCACTTAAGTGGTGCTATAATTGCCTCTCTAAAGTTTACTAATGTTGTTATGTAAAATATTTTAACTGGTTTTCTGCTGCAGGATATATATATATATATATATATATATATATATATATTTT